GTCAATCATTGTTCTATAAAAACCTTTATGTACTGATTATTTGCAGATTTTTTAACATTTTACTGAAAGATATAACGTTACCGGACATTTTGCAAAATAATTTTCTAGGGATAAGATTATATTGTACAATTGTTTTCATTCCCGAATAAAGAGAAAAAAATTGCGCCCTAAAATCAGCCGCTCGAGGCAATGCTCCTTTCTAGAACTTTATCACCACTTGTCACCGTATGGGATTGTGTTCAAGCACTTTCTGATAGTAAATAACAAAATACTATGGAATTACGGCGAAATGTACTTAGATCTTACTTTTGTTACGCGGTGGGTAGTAATTTTTAATCAACACTGCAAGCACGAAATGTCGTAAAATACATATGCTACAAGCCAATTGTCATCAGAAAACTGCAAACTCGTTTGTCATAGAGCACGTTCGCATCGATACAATCGAATCGAACACATCGACGTTTGCCGTTATTTATTGCACTTATTTTATGACAGATGTTTTTTTTTAATGGCTCATGAAGTTTGTTAAATATAAAAGATTATAAATCCTTTCTCTAAGATGATCAGGTACCGTAAAAAGGCAACACTTTTTAGCCGACTACAGAAAAAAGATGATCTATACTTCGCTGTATACTTTTTTGTGTGTTACACGATATCTCCGTTAATTGTACACCGATTTTGAAGATTCATTTTTATTAAATAGCTTTAAATATAAATGTTTTAAGAAAAAATCACCCCTAAGAGTGGAATAAAATAAGGTGAAATTTTTAAAGTATCTATTCAGACAACAATTAGTTGTTATCTTGAACTTGTTATATTATAAATAAAATCCTGAGAGAGAGAAACCTGAAATAAATCCTGCCCATAGTATATCCTAGAAAATCGATATATTTATCGACACATACATAATTGAATAGTCTTCTACTTGAGAATTAAAGCCCAAAGCCGAAGTTTGCAATGCGCGTCGTGGAATAAAATATTCACGTTTCGACAGTTTGAAAGACACTTTCCGATACTTAGTAAAACTTGAAAACCTGTTGAGGACCTATAAACTATTTTCGTGAATTTATTGCTGGAACAAACGATATTCACGTATGTAATTTTAAAGGCTTTAACACGTCTAAACACTATGTTTTAGCCCAACTTTAGAATGTGGAAATATTATAATATTCTTTTTAGTTCTTTGAAGTCGGCTTCTATTTTTTGTTAAAGGTTAGTTTTCGTAGTTTAATTTTCACCTATTTCTGAACCCATGAACAACTGACACCTGAGACTTTGCAGACGTATAAGAAACCGATTGCATAACAATATTTACTTAACTAAAACTGTTTCGTTAGTCAAGTGGTCGAAAATGCGGCTTTAGATCGTGTGGTCCAGGGTTTGGATACTGAGTCAGGAAAAATCCGTTATTAGACGGAATTCTCAGTAGTATCCCGAAGACACGAAGTTAGCAGTACTTCACCCCTTTGTCTTGGAAAGCAAGTAAGGCCATTAGTCCTGCATCTATTCTCTCCCCTACTGGATCGGCTTTCCGTACCATTGAATGATGAGAATGAGGGAATAGAGAGTGCACTTGAGCTTGTACATACGAGGTTAAATGAGTTATTATAAATCACGATTTTGTCAGTAAATTACCGCTATATAATATTTATAAAGGAGATATTTTCCATAGCTTCCACGCTTTTAAATAGCACTCATCTTCTGGGTAATTTTCCCCTGTCGTCTCTTACGACACCCACGGGACGGTAGGAGGTAGTGAATATTCTTAAATCGCGGCGACTCAATGGATCTCCTATCCATGAGACAGTCAATGGGGAGACCAATGTTCAGCAGTAAATTTCGATAGGCTGTATTGATATTGATGGATTATGGACACTATTTCTTAACAAAACATCAAATTTTATCAATCACGACGGACGTATTTGCGAATGGAAACTTCCGCTATAAAATTATTCCAACTTAACTGTATTTGAACTTAAAATTCAATGACGCAAAAGATTATATAATTGTATAGGTTTGAATTTTCCAGTCGACTAGACTGGTAGAATAGTTTTCAGCGGACTAGACTAGGTTAGCACCGCAGTTTTACATAATTTAAAGTTGTTATCAGAAGAATAGTTTTATATCATAGGGTTTGTATCATTAGGTCCTCTGGAACACCGCATTGATCATATTTCGGTGACTATTATTACTATGGGACCTTTTTCATAAGGAATGCATAAAAAAAGGTCCAGTCACCGAACTGTGATCATTGTGGTGTTCCAGAGGATCTAATGCATGTCTTGATGGATTGTGCCCACAACGCTGCCTTTCGTATTGATAAGTGCCACCACATTTTAAAAGACTTCGCTGATTGTAATATAATTTTAGCTAAGCCACATTCTGACGATATAAAATTATTAGTCGAACTTTACAAGGTGATGTTCACGGATCGATCACTCACTTCTCAATGTGATTGATTTGGGAACTTTTCGTTTTATTTTTTGTAACTTAATGCATACCTTCTTCTACTTTTGGTAATTATTTACGGATTTAAGAACTTTATATTTGTAATAAGTTTAAGTATACCTAATGTAATTGTTTTTGGTTATGAATTAACGGAGCGACATATTCACATTGTGATTAAGCTCACTAATAAAGAAATAAAAAATCCTCTCCCTCTTTCGCCTTTCACGAAACCCATGACACGATAATATGAGGTAGGGGTCATTCTTGCACCGCCACTATTCAGTTAACCAGAGAAATGATAAACAAAAAATGGCTGTAACGGTGACTGTAAATAAACAAGTTTATTGTTATTGAAGTCTGCTGCTGAACATGGGCTTTCCTTATAGGTTATCTTATAGGGGGGATACTTGCCATAGTTGCCATGCTTGGCAATTCGGTTGGCAACCGCAGATTTTTTTGGTCGTTATTAGAAAGAAACTGCCGCCCATTTGCAGATTTGTTTCCATCTGTTGCCTCTTACGACACCGACAGCATGATATGGGGTGGTGGATATTTTTACGCCGTCACTACACGGTAATATATCACTACGCGGCTTTAGCGTAAGAAAATCCATAATTCTTATTCCTTGTTTGAGACTATATTGTTCGAAAAGTCTAACCATGTAAAATAAGTTAGATATATACAAATAATGTGTTACGTCACTATATTTTGTACGTGGTAGAGTTACACTGCAGCTTTTTATAGCTGCAGCACGAATGGGTTGGCTCAACCGTGGTGGATCAGGCACCCACAGAATGGTATTCTGGCTTCTTCGCTGGTGCGTGAAACATCAGAATAATGCATCAGAAAAATGTAGATAACCGGAGATGTATTCACATCCTGTGAGTGAATATATTCCTGCTTTTAAGAGGTGCTACGAAGAACGGATTCCCTATGCTCGATATCAAAAAGATTGGTTGACAAGGAAGGCTTGAATAATGTGCAAGAACCTGTTGGGCACGTATAGTTTGTACAGTTTGCAAATAAAGCCGCCGTGCCAGATCAGGACATCAGTGCTTAGGGTTTTGTGATTGCTATTTAGAGTAAAACCTGCCAGAATGTATATGTATAGAATGTGTTCGATTTATGCACGAGTTTCCAGGTCTGAAGCCAAACAGCTCATCGGGGAGAAGCTTTTTTGCAAAAACATTTCTCTCGTAGATTTTTCACAGAGGAGCAGACTATTAGATCTATAGGAGACTGGATTCCACGGTTTCCCAGGTATCAGGATTCCTATAACAGCAGCCTTTTAAGCCGTTAAAATGCCTACTAGAAGGCAGATAAGTGGTACGGATAAAGATTTAAGCACCATGTTACTAATTCCATCGGTATTGGGTGCTGATTTGTTTTTAAGAGCGTTAACGACTTCTGTAACATTATCGATAGTCACAGAATCTAATGGGTTGAGATGATGACTGCCAGAAGGCGGTTTGTGATAGCTCGATATCCTCCAGCAGGTTGTCCCACTTATTCTGTCTAAAGTCGGCTATGCACTGTTTCACGTTGTTGTAGATACGGTAGCCGATATATATTGTATAAAGGTATATATTGTATGGTAGCGGTTGTTATTTCTTCGGTCCACGTTTTCACTCTAATCAGCTTGCGAATATCGCCTGGAAGCTTCGTGAGTTGACTGCTGGATATTAAAACGTTACGTGAATATTCTTTGACTGCTGAAGTAAAGTGGGTTGAATCGTAGTATTGGCTTTCTCTGGCGAGACTATTTTAAGATTAAATGTTTTTAAGTACTGGTAGGTCGTAGACTCGAGGTTAACCTCAAGATTACGCCAGTATACAACAGTTTTGTTTTGAATGACCTCCCTTGCGCGCTGGCCAAGCTGTAGTAAGTCTGTAGTCAGAGTCGAGTTCATGGATCTTCCGAATCGATGTTATTGACATGCAGACGTCTTTGAGTATCTCTACCAGTGCCAGTATAATTACAGGCTGTGAGGGATTCTATAGGTAACTACGTATCTGTCGTCGTTTGAAGGTGGCTGCAGGTTACTATGGGCTGCAGTAGCCACTAACTCTAAGTTCATTTGTCACTTTATAAAGTAAAGCGTGTGGGACTACTTTTTTATAAAAAAAAATTGCCTATGTTGTTACCTGTGCAGATTTGTACGAGATGGCTATATCGTCATCTATTTCCGGCCGTATATAGTTATGGGTTATCCTAAGGTGAAAGAAGACTATCGTCAACGTTGTCTTTATAATATGAAATGATAAAAGAGTTTATATAATTTATACAATATATTTTATACAAATATATAAAAGATAGTCGAGATTATACACGTCTCAGGACATGGTCTTGACTTAAATAATTTAAAACA